TTATCCTTCTTTACCAATGATTATTCTCTAGTACTAATTATTATCCCTAATGATCCTTTCTCTATCAGCCCTACACCCACCAATCGCATACTAATCATCAAATCAATCCATTATATTAAATCACACCATTACAAACAAAGCGTCCATTAACCCCATGGACATCCCAAAAAACAAACACAACCTATCAGTAATAAAAGACCAGATAAGCAGACTGGCACGTAACAGCACAATATCAGCGGTCAGTCTGTACAACAGTATTTTTGGATTGAACGGCTGTTTGGATGCTGTACGGGATACTGTGATTGGATGTGTTGTTGAGGAGTGTTTGTGGTGGTATGAGTGTATTGTGGAGGGGTATGAGGGGTATGTTGATGGCTGTGGATGTTCTGAGAGTACTGGGGGTTGTACTGGTAGAGATGAGAATGATGAGGAAGGGGGTAGCACGGGTAGAAATGAGAATAGTATTGATAGGAATGATAGCATTGGTGGGGATAATAACGGGATTGGTAGGAATAGCATTGGTAGAGATAATAACAACGATAATGATGATGGTAACGATATAGAGGGCAGTATTAACAACAATGATAATGATGAGAAGACCAGCTCTCCTAGTGCTAACGATGTTGATACAACCTACGATAATGAACATGCCTGTGCAATGCAGCTGCTACCGCCCGGTCAATACATAACAACCTGCTCTCTTCCTCATCACGCCCTAGCCGACATCATACACCGCTATGCGCACTACTTCGACACATTCAACGCATTCATCACAAACCTTGCCGATCTGTGCTTCCTCCTCAACACCGAATGCTGGGACGTGCACGAGATGGGCATGGCCACGTGGCACATGCACGTGCTGAACCGGCTCGTGCATTTCGGGCACGCAGTATGTGCCGCCGTGCACTTATCACCGTACTCTAACGATCGCATTGACACACTCGTACGCGTTCTACACGCATTCATGCGCATAAAATTGGACCACTCCACTTATTACACGCTTACATACGAACGCACGCTATTCATGCGCATAAACGTTTTGTACGCCCGCATAACACTCACGCATAATTATGCGCATGAAGTGCATCGCATACTAACGCATGAAATAGAAAGCAGGTCAGGTTACATGCTGCCCGTATCATTTCCGGCACATAACCAGGCACTCATCAACCACTTCATACTGCCCTATTCATCGTTTATAGTTATGCATTGCATACGCAATATCAACGATTATAGGGTGATTTACGAGCTGAACGATGAACGTACAAATGCATTGTTTGAGCGTGGAATGGCGGTGTATCTTAGGAGTGTGCGTATTGATGCACTGTGCATAAATGAACTGTTTGAACGCATGATTAGTTTTTTTGGGGATAGGAAGGGCGTACAGACTGTTGTTGAGAGGTACAGGGCTGTGCTGATGGCCATGCATGATAATGTTGAGAGGGTGGTGCGGTGGATTGATGGGCTGGTGGACGGCCGGACAGACCAGGATGTTATTTTGGATGGCACTGTGAGCAATGATGAACTTGGGCTCGTTGTAGAGGATGTTGATGAAAGGATTCTTGCGGAGGGTGATGATGAAAGGAATGAT